GACCGCGAGTCCCCCTTACTGCTGCTACTTCCGGTACATCTCATTACTTGGAAATATTATTTCCGGTATTGATACATTAGAGTTTTATGGTACATAGACCTTTGAGATAATATATAATATATTTATAATAAATAGCAATAATATTATCATTTAGAATCTTAAATATTTGATTCTTAGTAATATATATATATATAATATCAATTTGAATTTTTCAAATTAATGATTTTTATCATTTTACAAATTATTGTGACATTTTACAAATTATTGTGAAATTTCACATCCACACCACAGGGATCCCGAAAGGGAAAGTTCAAGACAGATGTCTTTCATGATGTTTCTTGAAAATTTCTAGTTTAAAAAAATTTGAGTTGATTCTTGAAAATTTTACAGTTTTAGACAAAATAACTATTTATTTATTTAATATCTTTCACCATGATAAATAATAGTAACATTAAGGAGCTAAAAAACATGGTGAGGGACACACAACAGAGCGAGGCTCCAAATTAAGTGTGCCCTACAATAAAAGAGAGAAAAGAAAAAAAAGAAAAGAAAAAAATAAAGAGATTTTAAAATATTACAAGATATATAAAATTCATGATATAGAGTGTCAACCACATATCCGTGAAATTCAAAATAATTTGAGCTTCTAGAATATATTACAATTTGTAATATAAAAATCAATTATGCACTAATTTGTTCTTAGATCTAATTAAAGGATGTTCAAATTTCCAAGATTTTTTAGATGAATTTCAAAATTCTTCTCAAAAACCTATGGAGTATCATGTTTTTGAACCATTTCTACTTCAAGCAACACCAAATGTTTCAAAAGCACTGACTATATAAATTAATATTTAAAAAATATATATTCTTCCTGGCTTAGCTTTGCTCTTACTTATACTACCAATAAAAAAAATCTTATTTGCTTAATGCTCTTTGAGGAAAATCTTAGATTTCCTAAGGAAATTGTTTCCATTTTTTTGCGATTGATATAAGGTTTTACTTCCACTGTGTGTATGAGGGAGTTAGAGTTATTATTTGCATCTACTCATTCCTTAGAGGAAAACAATTTTTGCCCCGAGGGGGATATCCACTAAAAATAGTATTAAAGCCACTTATTCATGTTTCTGTAACCCTAAATTTGGGAAGCATGGGTGGAGTAGAAGTGAGAGTGCTTGCCTCTTACCAATGCAACCCTTAGTTTGATTCCCAGGCTCGGTGTTGTTTGTAAATGGGGTTGTTTTTTGGTTCTCTCCTGTGCTTCAAGGGTTTTTCTCTGGGTTCTCCAGATTTCCTTCCTCCTCAAAAATCAATTCCTAAATTCCAATTGTGGATGAAGAACTACTCTGGTCTTTTGGTTCTGTCAATCAAAAATTAAGAGAATGTAAATTTGTTGAATGTGCCAAAATGTACTGCCCTCAAGCTATTGATGACACAGAAACACGAAAAAATAGCATAATAAAATCAATAAGGAACCAGCTGATCTCAGAGAAAATGTTAGCCAATCAGAATTGAGGAAATTTGCAAAACTGAAGTGTCACTTTTCCTCTTGAAACTATGGAATTCCAGGCCACCAAATAAAAAAAGCTAAAGGTTTTATATTTTTATTGCAATGTTTGACAGTTTTTTAATTTTTGCTGGTCATTTTTCGCAGACTTCACAACACCTCAGTTTAGCAGTGACGTCTACGTCATGATCTCAGATCAGCTGTAAGTCTTTCAGAAACATTCATAATCATCAAGTAAATAAATATATTCTCTTGGGATTATCGTGTAGAGCGATGAATAAATGGATAATAATGTCTTCTCTGTCTTTTGAAAATAAATTTTTCCTCTTCATATTCATACTGACTGGGCAAGAAAGCAGCAGTTACATAGACCAGGATCATAGCCAGAGAAAAGAGTATTCCATAAATAGTTGGGAGCATGTTGTCGGAGACCACTGCTCCCGTCTTCCTTCTGCACACATGCCATTCCCTTGCTGTGAGCCTCGAGGGCTCATGTAAAGGAAGCTGAGCATGTATATACTCAATTTCGCTGCTGTTGAATTTATGTCCAATAGCAATGGCAGTGGCCCAATCACAAGGACTAAAGTTCGGCAAGGTTTCGATCATCCAGTTATTCAAAAGGAATCCAGGCATGAATAAAGGTTGTACTCCCATTTCCCTCAATAGAATTCCCAGATATGCATCTTCCACATGAAAAGGTCTGAATTTGTCAGTCAGACTTAGAAACTGGGGTATGAGGTTGTGAGTAAAGATGTAAAACGGTCCACCACAGTAAGGGGGATAATAATCTTCACTGAAGTACATTTTACTAATAGCATGCTTATTTGACACTTCGCGAAATACTACTGCATTAGCCATGACATACCCCCCAAAGAAACGAGCCGGGGCTTGATTCAACACCATCATCAGGCGAGGCAGACAAACATAAGTATCATCATCACCTTTGAGGATAAATTTAGTCTTGATGTTTTCAGCCCATTTAAAGCCCATATATACTTTGATTATCAAATTATTATAAACATCAGGAAAATTTCCAACCACCATATCGTTGTAGGTCCTTGCTTCCTCTTCAATCTCTTCATTCAATGTTTGATTGTCACTTTTCCCCAAGAGGAATACCAGTCTAAATGAATGGTTAACGATGGCCTTAAAAGGAAATCCATGCTTGACAGACGAGCTGTAACTAAGTATCCCTAAAGAAGTTTTCATGTTTCCCCATGTTTTTCGAATGGCCTGTCGTCGCTCAGCGTTGGGCTCCTTTGCCGTCGCAGAAGACACCAAAACGAGCAAAAATATTTCTTTATCATCGAATTTCGGCACTACATGAGGAATCACAACACTGAAATTCACGGGTGGATAATATTCGTGCAGAATGCGATAATCCAAGGTTGGAGGAACGGTGGAATTCAAAATTCCATTTTCACTGTTGATTCTTGTAACATTTACAATGCCATTTTGATTTCGCTTTATTTTCATTCGACCGATACGTCGATCTTTCTGCTTCCGAAGAAAATGTTTCAAGTTATGGTGCGAGTAAAATTTAGAAGGCTTTGTCATAGCTGGCACTGAAGGTGTAAATGAAAAATTACTTTGATGATCCCTCGTTCGATGAACGTCGAGCGTAGAATTTACCATAACAGGTCTTGATTTTCTTGAAAAAGATTTTGCCAGCAATACCCGACTGACGATCACGACTTGAAATGCTATAACAATACCAGCTGTTAATAAACATAGGAAATTTTTTCGCTTAAAACCTTTGAATTTTAGAGTAAACACGACAGAACGAAGTAGCCTTGCTTGCAGCCGTCTTTTCACCATGGTTGCTCTGTGCATATTTACAATTCGAAGAGCATTAAAAAATCTACGTCAAAATGTATTAATCATTAACCCAATATTTTTTTTTTACATTAAAATTAATATTTCCATTGTAGTTTCGAGTATTATTGTGAAAGTGTATTTATTTTCGTATTCTTTCGGTACACATTAAATAATTATCAAGTTTACGCAAGAAAAAGATATTTTTCTGGTACGATTTCGTGAAGAATTGCTTTATAGCTTAAGATAACATCGCATAAAACATCCTAGGCATCGTAAAATAACCAGCTCTTGCTTTTCAAATGATAGAAATCTAACTCAGAGATTTTTAAATTGAAACGATTATTACGACAGCGAGGACGGAGATCGTATTCCAAGATACCTTATAAGATATTAATGCAGAATTATTTCAACACCTTGAAAAAATGGATGAAAAAGATGCGTGACACAGTGATTCAATAAACGTCGAACCAACAAAATTTTAAATACCTTATCTTTTATTAACAAAGCTGTTGGGAATAACGTGGAATAAAATTTTATATTGCTGGGGGGGAAATTAGCTTATAAACTTTCTTTACGAGGTAAGAATTAAAGAAATTGTTGACGTTGTTGGTTTTTACGCCTGCATCGAAAGAGAAAGCTTTTTGCGGTAAAAACACGAGCGCCAAAACAAGGGGGGAAAAAAGTCGAAAAAAATGTGACTTACCGAGAAAACGAGAAAACTATGAATCAGAACAAAATTCTTAAGTTTGAATATCGGAATATTTCGACTGTATCCCACAACCCTTCCAGGGCAATGAATCAACCTTTTCTCAAGTAATAGTATGAACAATATAAGCGAAAGGTTACGAGTAAGATGACGAAATCTAAAGGGGAAAAAAAAAAAAAAAAAAAAAAATCGACAAATTTTAAATATTTTAGACAAAAGCTTGAGAGAAACTTTTTCAAGGAAAAAAACAAACAGTTTAATTGTTTTTATGTACAAGTGTAACATTATTTTGATAAAAAATAATTAAGTTGTTTTTAACTTCCAAGGTTATTGATGTCTCACGGGAAAGCGGATGTGGATGCAGCAATTTAAAAATAGTACATTGACTCTTAGCTAATTCAAGCTTTTTAATTGATAATGTAATACTGCAACCGCTTCCCAAATTAATGTGTTATCATAGTCAAGATTTTTATCGGTAGACATGTTAGGAGCAGCTGAGGAAGTTAATAACAGCTACAAACAACAGCTAGGCTGTAGCATAAGAATGGCTTTCCGAAGTTTCTGTACGGCCACGGATTAAAGTACGATCTGAGTATAGCTAACCCGGCATGGAATCCACTTATTAAGTACACCGTTACTTCGTATACAAACCCAAGAAATTTGCCTCAGCACAAACGCTAAAACAAAAGTCCTCTCATTCGTCGTCCTATTCCATGGCGATCATGAACCACTGTAAACTTGTTAATAAACTGCAGGAAAAAAAAAAAAAAAAAAAAAATTCTATACTTAATAAAACGGACTGTTTATTCATATTGTGGTGGATTTATTTTCGTCTTTACCTCATTCAAGCTATTACATCCCTTAGTAACGGTTGCTAGGTAACACATAAGCATGACGTCATTACATTGCTGTGAAGAAAGACAAATGGTTTATGAATATTAGGCTAATGTGATGGTCTGTCACTAATGTTTATTAGTATAAACCTACTTATGGTCTATTATGAATTCTACCCTCTGATTGGCTGAGATACTAGTAGTCTATTAGTATAGTTAATGGACCGCTCCATTAACTGTGCTATTAGTGATATACCACTAGTAGCCAAAAGTGCCGGTTTTGGAAACCTGATGTAAGTCATGGCACGGCTCACTCAGAGCAAATCCTGAAAGAACCTCTGGGCTGATCTAAGTCAG